ATAACATTCTATAATAAAATGCTATTATCATAATTACATACTTAATAATGTACAATAATTATATATTTAATAAAATCTATTTAATATATATTATTATAGTATATAATAAATATATAATATATTATCTATAAATATATGATAAATATATACTAAATATATATTTATATTAAATATATATTTAAAATATAGATATTGAATAATTATATATATGAAGATACAACAATAATATCAATAATGGAGAATAATAAATTATATAATCATTTATATATTTATGGATGATAGTGATATAGGACGATAGTGATGATGATAATAATAATGATAATAGAATAATCAGGATTTCCACTGATATAGGATGATAGTGATGATAATAATAATAATAGAATAATCAGGATTTCCATTGATATAGAATGATAGTGATGATAATAATGATAATAATAATAATAATAGAATAATCAGGATTTCCATTGATATAGGATGATAGTGATGATAATAATAATAATAATGATGATAGAATAATCAGGATTTCCATTTATATAGGATGATAATGATGATAATGATGATAATAATAATAATAATGATAGAATAATCAGGATTTCCATTGATATAGGATGATAGTGCTGATAATGATGATGATAATAATAATAATAATAATAATAATAATAATAATGATAGAATAATCAGGATTTCCACTGATACAGGATGATAGTGATGATAATAATTATGATAATAACAATGATGATAGAATAATCAGGATTTCCATTGATATAGGATGATAGTGATGATAATAATAATAATGATGATAGAATAATCAGGATTTCCATTTATATAGGATGATAGTGATGATAATAATGATGATAATAACAATAATGATGATAGAATAATCAGGATTTGCATAGATATAGGATGATAGGATGATAATGATGATAATAATAACAATGATAGAATAATCAGGATTTCCATTTATATAGGATGATAGTGATGATAATAATAATAATGATAGAATAATCAGGATTTCCATTGATATAGGATGATAGTGATGATAATAATAATGATGATAGAATAATCAGGATTTCCATTGATATAGGACGATAGTGATGATAATAATAATAATAATAATGATGATAGAATAATCAGAATTTCCACTGATATAGGATGATAGTGATGATAAT